TTTCAGTGAAACGTGCGCACGTAAAAGCAATTTGTTCGAAAGTAGTAATACAAAGTACATACTCTAATATTTTTAATCATGCTTTACGTATAAATGTTAAATGAGAATAGGAGCCATTTATCAAAGTGATTATTCAAGAAGTTGCAACTTTTCACGGGAATATATATTTTAAAATGAGAAGATACATTTTATTGATAACAAATATCGAATCAGTGGCAGTTATTGAGTGCTTTATAAGGCGAGCATAATGTAAACTGTTATCTTTTCTAGATTATATTTTCAATTATCGTATCGCCATAAATAAAGAATGTGAAAAAATAACGCAACACGAAGAGATATTGATATAAAAGTGGCTTCTACACAAATATTGTGATAATTTTATATCATAGAACTGAAACATCTTTTTTAAATGCAATCTCTCTCTCTCTTTCTCTCTCTCTCTCTCTCTCTCTCTCTCTCTCCCTCGCTCCCTCTCTTCCTTTTTCTCTCTTTCCAAGATTAATGTTTTGTCGACTCAAGTTAAAATTGTGAAAGATGATACGTAAAGAAAACCCACAATTACGATTGCGCTTTTATGTTGAAGAGTTTTTTTTTGCTTTTGTGAAAGAACATAATTGAACCCTTACGCAGCTAAATCTGTTTCTTCCCGCAAAGAAAGGAAAGAGATTACCATAAGGACGATGCACAAGTATCATTTTCGCGAGATGAATAAAGCTAAACGATAACGTTTTACGCAGCTGAGTCTATTATATTTATACTTTAAAGTCGGGGGAAACACTTTTGTTATTTCATTTCAACTCTTGGCGTTTCGTTTCACTTGTATTTCGCAAAATTATGCACTCGACACGTTCAATCTGTTATTTTCGCCATCACTTCGTCCAATTAACGCGGTCCTGTTGAACGCGCTGTAAAAAGATTTGTAAGAAACACGCCATCGCTCGTTACGGCTCGTCGAACTTTTTCTTCCTCGAATCGCATAGACGATCCCTCGCCTCGGGCGAGGAGGCGTTCTAATCGGCGACCGATCAATATTCATGGGTATCGA